ATATTTATTATATTTTTAATTTGTATATTTAAAATCCCAATTAGATAAATATTATATTAATTTTCAAAGTTGGATTGTGGTGAAACGTAATTCTATTCTTCCTAAAAGTAAAATAAATAAAAGTTTAAATCTTTTTCGATCCAATGGATCACGTCTTAGTGGTGGAAGTGATTGAAAATTCCTTTGAAGTATTGTGTTCGAACCTTGGAGGCAAAGCTAAAGGAAGTTTTTCAAGAATTTTAAACTGTCCGATTGAATGGTTTAACAGTTTATATCGGTTTGAATGGTTTTGTTGATTTTAAATGGTTCAACTTTTTTATCGGTTTTAAACACTTAACCAACTCATTTATGATATCGGGTGCTGGTTCAACCAGCCAATCCAATCCGGTTTTTAAAACTTTGCTCAAGGGATTTGTTATGTGTCTGTTTGGTATGTAATGTTCTGGAACAAAAAGAACAAATCAATGTTGTTAGATTTAAAGAGATATACATGCAATAAAAATATATATCTTAAGAAATTTTCCTATATGTTCTATTCATTAACGTTAGCGGAGAGCTAGGGTCCCAAAGTTGGGATTAGTTTAGGAGTTAGAACCCATGTTTAATCTTGTTTGAGTAATTGCTTTGTGGTGGAGGCATTGAAGGCAACATTGACCTGAAAGGAAGGGCTCTGAAAAAGGTGTTTCATGGTTGAAAGGGCACCACAAATAATTTTTGTTTCCTGTGTTTCTATCTCAACAAAGGTTTGACCACATCAGTAAACTGAAAGGTTAAAGCATTTATAATTGTTGATAGAGAAGGTAGGGACAATATATGTTCAATAACCCATGGCCAATTCAGTCCCAATAATATACATTTGTTATGCTCTTTCATGGTGCATAGGAATCAAATTCTTAACGCAAGTTCAAAGATGGATTAATGTAATTGTCACGGGGAAATGATCATTTGAATATCTTAATTAGGGTTTTAGAGGCCACTAATCCCTGGAAACTTCACTTCACTATTCCTGCATCAACTCACATTGGTTTTGGTCCTTTCGGATACACAAGGACATCAAAATCGTTGGTCCATATACTACACATAAAATGGGCAACCTTTGTTTATTTATTTATCTAAGACTCTCCCCAGAATAATTTATTTTTCATTTTGGAAGGCAGTCCGGTATCGCCCAAAAAACTTGATGCATAAACAAGAAAATCATGGCTATCAAAATATAATGACAGTTTTATGCAAACCATATTAACAAATTGGTACCTCATTTTACAGGAGTTTTTTGTGTTAAAATCCAACCCGTAATACTAACCTGTTCTCACTTCTTCACCAACTTTCTGGTAAACCATCTCATCAAGTTTGTGTAGCATTCGGCTGACCCCATGTTGCTTGCAATGTTTTTCCTCTGTATTTTCCAATAATTTGGCAAATTTTCCTGAAAGAGATTTTGAAGTTAACCCTTTTTTTTCGAAAACTTCATGGTTTATTTACCTTTTCCTAGTTGTCATATCACCAAGTTTTCCCAACGTCAATTATGATCAACATTTACAGTTTTTGAAAACACTGGATTTGGCACATAGTGCACCTGTGACCACCGTTTGACAGCCATGCGAATTATAAAGAGAGACACTCACATTTGAATTCTCAGATCCTCCAGCAATGTCATTTCCAAAAAATATCATTCCTGTGAAGAATAAAACAGTTAAGAAAACTAGGAAAGACAAACCAAGACAAAATTTGCCACCCTTTTCTTGTTTGTCTTCTCTTGTTGCACTAATTAACATGATCACCGAAAGTGAACTTTGCAGGTTGGCCATATCTTCTAATTTCAAATATCTGGTTCGAGATTTTCTTCCGCTACCTTTACAAAGGGTTCTCTATCCTAACAAAAACAGGCATCTTCATGTTGTTCAGGAATTTGGGGGGATGTTGAATTTTTGAATGGCATGCTACCAAGACATTTCATATCTGCATAGGAAAATGACCACTAAAAAATTGAAGTGAAATCTGAGTAATACAAATTGCTAGCATTTATCCATTTGTACAAGGTAAGCAATGGAATCTTTCCACAGTTCATATCAATGATAAATTACGCAACTCATTTCGCTAATGCATTAATTAAATAGAACAGAGATGATAAGCAACAGGTACAATTTACTAAATGAGCATCGCATCACTCACAAGAAATCATTGATTTCTTTCTAGCACACTTTCAAAGACAGAACAAGCCAAATCCACATTCCCAGCCCTATAAAGTTCTGAAACGACAGAATTCCACATCACAATTAATCCTCTCCGGCATGGACTGAATCAACCGAATTACTGATTGAATATATCCACAAGCCACATATGTACTGATTATCGAATTCCACGAGACCACATCTCTCTCTGACATTTCCTCGAACACACTACAAGCATAACCCAAATTCCCGCCACATTCGTACGAAAATCCAAAAGGGTATTATGTACAAATACACTAGAACAAAAACCAAGCTTCGTAACATCCCCATGGATCGCCATTCCTTCATTCAAAGCTTCAAATGATCCAAAACACCTCAAAAGGAAACCGAACGTATAGCTGTTCGGCCAGACCACGCTTTCACTTAATTGTAAACACAAAATCTGTCTCCATGTGACTTTCCTTTCAAGCATTTCATCGTCGTATTACAGGAAACAACATAGGGATTTCGGACCTTGTTAAATACTTTAGCCTTTGTTTGAATTGGATGATTTGGCGGGAAGGGGAGGGGAGGAGAGGAGAGTGAGGGGCAGATGTCACCCATAGTTTGTTTGTCTTGTTTTTTATTAATGGAGAGGGAAGGACAGAGACGCTGATAGAACCAATGTTATTAATACAGTTTTGTATCGGCTGATACGAATATCAATTTTTTCATTAAACTGAAATGGTACAAGATTTAATTTTGCTTTTATCAAATTCCGTTCGTTTCGTTAAATTTTGATGTAACAGCCAATACTTTGACGTACCTGGTACATCGAAAATTGGTTGATA